CCTGTACAAATGCACCATCTGCAAAGCACTTCTGACTGGTAGATACCCTGCATGCAACGTGCGCCCTGTTAAGCCGCTTAGTGGGGAGATAGAATGTACTTAAAATAGAGGATACCCTGTAAGTCTATTATATCACATATTACAATATGTAAAGATACCCTGTAACTCCGGTTTACCGTCTACAATGCATTAGTGCAGCTGACTGCGCGACTGCTAGATACCCTGTAACTGTTGCTTCTGTAATAGCTATAGTCTGTTGCTGCTCATTCAAGCTACGCTAATAGATACCCTGTATTTCAATTAGATCAATCAAAGAATTACAAATACGATTCATATACAATTTGTAAGCTTGTCTTTGTCATACCCTGTAAAACCCAACTGCTTTAAACTCTTTAATTATGATAAAGGCCCTTCGATAAGGTCTAACAAATTGCATGGTTTAGGGGAAATATATATATATATATGCATGAGATCTGATGAGAACAAATAAAAATAGAATACAATTTATAATCATAAAAAAAATAAGTAAATAATTACGATAATAATGATGTTCGTTTTGTGATGATTATAAATAATTACAATATTGAAATGTAACAAATGTTTCGACGGAGAAAACAAAACTGGGAACATGCTCAACAAATCTCCAATGCTCAAAATTTAAAAGCCAAGCAAACCAAGCCTTAAATGAAAGCAAGTTTTGCCGGGTTCAAAGGCCAAGATTGGGTGGATTATTGGGGTTGGTGGTGGGTGTGGTTTTTGTGCGGCGGGTTGGTGCAGATGTGACCCACCTGTGCTGCCGATTTCGCCTTGAGGCGTTCGCAAACAACTGGCGAACAACTCGCGAACAGCTGCCGCATTTTGGGGGCATTAAATTCGCCGTGAAATGCGTTGCATTGGCGCGGCGAAAGGCGAATTCGTTGCGCTTGCTTAGCAGGGCATGGCGCATGAATCAATGGGGGCTAGAGGGTTTCGGTTGGGGGGTCGTCGGTTCGCATAAGGTTAAGGCAATGACCTACCTGATGCTCCTTGTCTTTCTTTTGCTCGCGTTCGCGTTCCTTTTTGCGCTTGCGTCGACGGCTGCTGCGACTTGGCGGCGGTTGCAGCAGCAGCTGCTGCTGCTGCTGCTGCTGTTGTTGTTGTTGTTGTTGCTGCTGTCCAACGATTTGGCAGCCATCGAGGCTGATCGCAGCGCTGCCGCTGTCGCCGGCGGCGTTGGCAGCGCTGTCGGCGTCACTGTTAACGTTGTTGTTGCTGTTTAGCTTGGGCATGGGCGGCTCAATGCCACCCTTCTTGAGCGCCTTGGCAATGGCATTCTCAATGCTGACCGCATGATCATCTGTATGTAGGAGTAGGAGGTGGAGGAGGAGCAGGAAATGGAGTTGGGGCGCAAGAGTGAAAAGCCAGCTGGTTTTATTATAATTATTTTTTTTTTTTTGCTGTTGTTGCTGTTGTTGTTTACCTTCGAGTGGGCGTGGTTTCTTTGATTTGTTCGTGGGCGCGCCGACAGACAACGATTCGCTGGCCATGCCCAGGAATATGACGTCATCGTCGTGCAGCAGCGGCTGCTTCTCGCTCAGGCGCTCAATCCCCACAAATTGCACCTCATCATTGGAGCCGCCAGCTTTAAAGGCTGTGGGCTTTAGTTGTTGTTGCTGTTGTTGTTGTGTTTGGTTTAGTGTTTGTTGTTGTTGCTGCTGCTGCTGCTCATCATCATCGTCATCATCATCGATCTCGCCATCCTCGAGATCCTCGGCTAGATTAATTAGCGGCGTTTCGCCGGCCACAACGGATGACATATTCCGTTTCCGTTTCAAAACAAGCGAAAAATACTGCAAGAGATTTGTATCGGGCAATTAGCTTAAAAAAACAAAAATAATCAAAGTCTTGGGGCTCATACACATATATATATATATATATGCATGTACATAAATTATATTGGACGCATATGCATAAAGATTCAAAAGACTGTCGACCACAGTGCGGCATAGTCACATGTTGCAGCCCGTTTTGCACGCAACATGTTGCTGAGTGGGTGGTGGGGGCGTGGGGCGCGCGTAGTAAGGCAAAAACAAACACCAAAAACAAACAATTCTCTTATATATACAACACACACACACACACACACACACACACAGAGAGACGTGTGCTTGTGTGAGTATGTGCGCTTGTGCTACATACACAAAAGTAAAAGCTTTGTCGCACACACACACGCACACACATACGGGCGTGCTTGTATGCAAACGGCCACACACTTACCCATTTACTGGGCACATAACATAACGCTGTTAAAACGCAAAAGCAACGCACCCAAAATGTTGCCAGCAACAATATGCTTAGACCTACGCACACACACACAGAGAGAGAGATTCACATGCACGTAGACACTTGTTGCTGTGGCGATGGCCTTACAAGCAAATATGTATATTGTATATATAAAATAATACATACGTGCACATAGTATGTACAGTATATATATATATATATATATAGACAATGTTTAAATTCAATTAATAGCAATATGTGCGTAGCGAGCTTTCGATCAACGCTGTTGTGCACAACTGTTTTTGTAAATATATATATATATATATATGTACATTGCACGTGTAACACAGTTTGTTGTTGGCCAGCAGAAAGAGACAAAATTAACATACATATATACATTATTTTGCCAAATTCTTTTGGCGCTCATCAACACAGAGACATACGCACGCATACAGACACACACACACACACACACAGATGCAAGCAACGCTCTGGCGCGCTCTCGATTCCGGCTGACCTGTCATGTTGTCTCGCTTGCGCGCATGTATTGAGCATAGAACGCAAATGCGTGACACACATACAAACACCCATATGCGTGCGTGTGTGTGTGTGGTTGTGTACGTGTGTTGGGGCTATTGCTAAAACGTTCAAAATGCATATTTGATACGTACAAACAATTATGAATTATGTTTTGTTATGAAATTGCACTTTGTACTCGTTGTCTCTGTGTTGTTGTTGTTGTTGTTAGCTTTTATAACTGTTCAAGTTGCCACAATTGTCAGAGCCACGCTGGGCGAAAGTTTTTTGTTTTTGCTGCTGCTTGTCAATATATATATATATATATGTATAAATTGTGTGCGTGCGTGCGTGAGTGTGTGTGTGTGTAATGCGACGCCCCGCATGACACACGAACGAAAAAAGAACGCTACAGCAATGGCCGCTGTTCAGCTTGTACTATGCACATGCACAAATGCATGTACATGTGTGCGTGCGTGTGAACATGCATACATACACACATACGTATGTATACGCATGACACAGAGTAGGCCCGTAAGACATCTTTGTTGTTGGCAAATTACTTTGAAATTATAAAAAAAAAAAAGAACAATTCCTTGTTGGTTTCTGTTTGCGTTCTGCTCTCTCTCCTCTCTCTCTCTCTTTTACGCCAATTTGCGGCATACAGTGGGAAATGGGCGTGGCTGGCAACAAACAAAAACGAACAAGGATTTGTCGCAACAAAATTTGGAAAAGTTTTGTGCTAGGCATGTTAAATTTTTTTTTTTGGTTTTTTGTTGTTGGTTGTTGTTGTTGTTTTTGGAACAATTTCTCTTACGTTTCAGCGTGGGCGTGGTTTGTGGTTACGGAACATTTACAAATTACAATTATTAATGATTTATAACATTTCTGTTCAATTTCGTTGTTTCATGGTTATATTTGGTTTTGTCGTTTGCTGGTTCCCTTTTGGTTTTTTTTTTCTTTTTTTTTTTTTTTTTTGCTTTTGCGTTTTCTTTTTTTCTGCTTTTGCTTGCTTGGCGTCGTACAGTTCCCGCTGCTTACATAATGAAGTGGTACAGTAGGTGAATAGATATGCATATACATATGTATATAAAATATGTGAAGGTATATACATATACTGGCATACACATATACATATGGCTGTAGCGCAATATGTGTGCGCACACACACATATACGTATTACATTTATCTATGCATATATGTATATATATGTGGTATATATGTATGAGAAATAAAAATTTCTTAGTTTCGTTATTTTTCTTCTTTTTTCTTTTTTTTTGATTTTTCGTACAATATATGCAAGCTGTCGCTCTCTTTCTCTCTGACTGTGGCCCTGGCCTCTGTATATGTCTGTCCCTTTCTCTCTGTTTCGCTCATAGACAGAATAACAAATACATTAAATAATTAAAAACTCGTCAACATGAGCGTTGTTAACAATTCAACAATATCTACTTGAATGATTTGTGAAATTAGCAACCGTACACCTCGAACATAAACCAGGGCTGGTTGCGCCTGTGTGGTGAATAGCTGCTGAGCGAGTTCACCAACTGCAGTTGGCAGCACTGTTTGAGCGCAACTTTTGTATGCCGCGACTTAGCAACCGCTTGCGTCAATGCAACTCACAAGCAATTTGCTTTTAATATTTTTTAAAATGTCCATAAACAATTGAACGGAAACTAACAAATCTTGATTGCACTATTGCCCATATGTTGTGTAGAGCGCTTAGCGCTGCTGAACGCTGTCCGCGCTTCTGGCAGCACTGGCCGTGCATGGTGAATTTGTTCGATAGGCAGCAGAGTTGTTGCGAAAACAATTTCGCAATTACAGAAAATAATATAACATTCTATGCCAATGTGTATATATTTAATATATGTATGTATTTGCGAAATTATCTTGAGTTTGGTAATGGGTTGAGGTGGTCAGCATTGGAGATATCTTATCTTACCTTAGACATAGGCTTAGACCACTCTTTATAATCAATGCGCTTGTAAATGATATGATTTGTTTTGCCTCAATACAAATAAATAAATGTTTTTATTTTTATATTTTTTTTTTTTAGAAATTGTCCTGCTGCGATGCATGTAACACAGTAATGAACATGAATTCGTAATAAAAGCACACAAGTTGCTTTCGTTTCGGTCTGAGTTATAAGTCAAGGCAAATTCTTTTGAAATAAGCAGCAACAAGCGATGAATGCCTATCGATAAACAGTGTGACCTGATATCCAATATATTTATTAAGCCAAAGGTCACATTGCGATCGCGTGCTGTATTTTAATTTTTGTTAACATTAAATTTCCACGCTCCATAAAATTAACAATACTAAAAGCGCAAACAAAATAATAATTTCTTTATAACGCACACTGCGCCCGTGCGTAGCTCACACACACACACACACACACACCTGTGTATATGTGTGTGTGTGGGCACATCGATTCAGCGGACGATCAGTTACTTTTTGGAGTTCCCCGCGAGCGGCCAAACAATGAAATACCAGCTGGATAACATGCATGTGGATGATCTGCCCTACTTGGAGCGAGATCTAAGCTTTGCACAGAAAGTAAATGCAGCCCCAAATTGCCCGGCTTTCGTTCATACAATATCTTCTCCGTTAACAGGTGTCGCTTGCGTTCCTGCTCTTTGGCGATCAGCACGCCCTGGCCACATATGTGCTGCAGAAGCTGCTGGCGCTGATGGGAACGGCGGACCAGCGTCAGAGCGATCTCTTGCGCCAATATGCGAGCACGAATCCGAACAATTGGCGCGGCCATCTCGTCGAGGCGCTGTGCATCATCAATGCACGCCAGGCGCTGCGCAAGCTGGGCTTTAACTGGCAGGAGCTGCGCCTGCACTATTTGCCCCAGGTGCTGGAGGTGTCGCTGCATGTGCATCCGCTGCTGAAGGCCTTGTACAATATATGCGAGCAGCTGACCATTGCGCAAACCGGACGCCTCGTCCTGGACATTAACGATCAGCTGGCGCGCCGCCAGGCTGGCCGGCATGCGGACGAACCGCTGCGTTTCTATGATCACGCCTATTTGGAGATCTTTCTGCTCGACTGGCTGACGCGCCATCATCTGCGACTGGGCGACATCAATGCCAGGGGCAGCGACATGCAGCTGCTCATTGAGTACTTCAAGTTCAACGATATGCATTCCCTGGCCACGCTGCTCGTGCAGACGATCAACAGCTGCGATTCCGGCGACAAATGCGATACGGATGCATCGCAGTCCGTATCCACAAGCACAGAATACCCAGCTGCGGCTCCTCTTGCTCCTGTCGACGGCATCGTGCAACAACGACGCGCCAATGCTCTGCAGGTGCGAAAGAGCAATGCCGGCATTTTGCTCATCATCAATCAGCAGAGATTTCATCGCAATGTCAGCGAGGAGTTGCGCGTGAGTAGAAGACCTTCAATTGTTTGATAAACCTGGTACAAAAGCGCTGGCAGGCTCGACTAGTAGATACCCTGTGCTCTATGCATTATTCCGATCGTTATGAAGTTTTCAAGGCAAATCAAAAGATTTGGCTTTGCAAATGAGTTTTTTTGTGTTATAGTTTTTAAGTTGCGCCCAAAGGAACATAATTTCTGCGAATCGATATTTATCGATAAATAGTTGGTAGCAGTTATCGGGGAGTGTAAAATGAGCGCGCGTAAGGCAAACATGAATCTACTACCAAATAATATAGGTGACTCTATATAGTTTATTAATAAATATTCATTTTGCCAAGTTGCATAATATAAGCCACAATTTTACCAAAAAAACGCTTTTCACCTAGCTCTGGCAGCACGGGATTTGTCACCAGGTGGCAACACTGCAACATTTTCCTTAGCCAATTTGAGTAAACGGATCGTAAATTTATCGATATCGAGTGCAAAAAAAAAGAAAACAACAAATATCTGTTTAAATGAACTATTTACAACGCAAATAAACCATATTAATTTATTAACAAATGTGGCAAATGCAAAGAATATGTAAACAAATGAGGCAACAATTGGCAATGCCAGGTACAAAGACAAAGAGATAACTAAAAATGTTGTTGATCAATTGCAATTAATTGGCAAACTATTTTTTATACAATTTGCAGTCGCTGCTGCCCGCCGTGAAGCTGAGCGCACGCGAGGGCACCGACGTGGACAAAAAGCGGCTCAGCGAAGTCTTCTCGGAGCTGGGCTACAGCGTGGAGGCTCACGACAACGTGGACCATTTGGAGCTGCTCAGCCATATGCGCACAGCCTGCGCCCGTTCGATTCTGCGCGATTCATTGATTGTGTGCATCTTGTCGCACGGATTTGAGGGCGCCGTCTATGGCGCCGACAGCATTCCATTGAGCATCACGGACATACAGAACGTGCTCTGCGCCAACGAGGAGCTGCACGACAAGCCCAAGCTCCTCATCATTCAGGCCTGCCAGCAGAACGCGAAAGAGTTGCAAACGGTATGCTGGCATTACAGCATCTCAATTGTTAAACTCAATATAATTTCTGTTTGCAGCGCGATGTGAATGCCACCACGCAGTCGCCCAGCCAGCATGCCAACATGGTGGTGGCCATGTCCACGGTGCCGCGCTTCGTTGCGCTGCGTCACAGCGTCCAGGGCAGCTGGTTTATCCAGACGTTATGCGATACGGTCAAACGGCATGCGGCCAGGTAAGCCAATACTCAAGCCAACAAAATTAACCTTTACATTAGTCTTTATCTCAATGTCAATTTCACTAACTGCCAGTTAAGGCACATATTGAAACATGTTGTGCACAAAATCTGCCTTCATCGATCGGGCTCAAATTCCGAACTAAAATTTGGGTTTTTTTTTAAAAACATATTTCTCTCAAAAATGATTGAGTTTATATTAAAGTATCTATTGCGCAAGCGTTTGCATTTACAGCTACGGCTGGTGGCTGGTTCAACATAAAAATGAATATTTTCCAAAGTATTTAAGTTCGTCAGATTTGGCAGTTGGACTATTAAATTTCTAGCATATCAATTTAAAATTCAAGTATACCAAAAAGACAGCTGTCAAATGCCAATCAGCTGTTCCCAACTATCCCATCGATAAACATTTAACACACAGTTTGTTAACTAACTAATAGTTAATTGGATATTGAGTGAACGTTAACTTTTTGCTCTGAATTCGAGTCTGAAATTTATTTTTCTTGCAGCGAACATGTGCTAGACATTCTGACCATTGCCATTGGACAGGTGAGCGAGAAGCGCGGCGACAAGGATCAGAAAATGGTGCCTCTTGTTACGAGCACGCTGCGACAGAATGTTTATTTTCCGGCCATTTGACCGGCAATTAGTACTTAGCTTTGCTCTCGAATCGAGCTCAATGTTAACAATATTTGATGCAATATTGAAAACAGACTTTAGTCAATATAAATTAATTTCCATTGTCTTAAAATTCATGTTAATTTGACAAGTAGTTACGCTTTTTGTCAACCGGCCAAGTGCTTGTCAACTTCGACAGACGATTACCACATACGTTTGTTATTAGACTCATGTTAGCTTGACAAGTGGTTATATTTTAAGTCAATCAAGTGTCCGTTAACTTTGACAGACGGTTGCAACATGAACTTGACGTAAGATTCATGTTAACTTGACAAGTTGTTGTTATTCTCATCGGATCAATGATTACTACAAAGTTTGTCGATAGACGAATGTTAACTTGACAAGTGGATAAATTTTTCATCATGTCAAGTGCCTGTCAACTTTGACAGACAGTTAAAACATAAGTTTGTTGTTACACTCATGTTAGCTTGACAAGTGGATAAAATTTTCGTCGTCTGATCGAATGTTTTTCAATATGGCCCTCACATTTCATGGAAAGCCGTCTGAAGAGTTAAACAATATGCAGCTATCTCAGTTCAATTCGCTGCGGATGAAAAAACAGGTCGGAGCTATGGTCAGAAATTGGGGGTATCCATTAGAGAATGTTTTCCATACATAGTCTTTGCAGTTTCTGTATAATAATAAACACTTAAACTAATTTAACAAATAGAAAGAAATTATCTTTTAGTTATTTTGTCAAATGTGTTTTTTTTATTGTTTTTTTTTTTTTTTTTTTATCACTTGGCTTACTGCGACACGCAGTAGACCAAACTTTGAACACTTAACCGCGTGAGCCCCTTCTGCGGCTACTTAAAACCCGCCCAAATTATGTAATACAAATAAAAATAATGTACAATGTAAGAAATGTGTGCCGGTTAAAGACTAGGCGCTATCTTCAGCCTCCGTGAGGACCTTTTGCAGCTGAGCGAGCAGCTTCTTTTGCAGACTGCGATCCTTGTCGGCGACCGGCTCATATTTGTTGAGGATGCCGTGGAACTCGCGGGCTGTCTGCAGCTTATTCGTCAGGGTATTGCAAATGCGACGGCAATGCTTGAGCAGCAGCTCGAGAATTTGGACGCGTCGGAAGAGACGCAAGTTCATCGATAAGAGCGCATAAAAGCTGGCCGCATAGCGTCCAATGCCGATCCACGGCGAGCCAAAGATGGCATCAAAGGTGGCCAACTGATAGGGACTGTTGCGGCGACTGGCCCAGTCCTGGGCAAAGCTCTGCAACAGCGGCCACACTTTGCTGGCGGTGACATTTGGCTCATTGAATTGGCTGACCAAATAGGCGATGCATTTGTTGCGCCACACGACATAATCGCCCTTGGCCTTGGGCGGCTGCTTGAGCGGACCCGCAAGCGGCGGTTGTTCCTCATTCTGTTCCAGCAATTGCTTGATGCAATCGATAATTGGCTGCTTGTCCTGGTCGGGCGACTGATAGCTTATCTTTTGGGCGAGCAGCTTGCGCAGCGTCTTCTTGCTGGCCTCGGCCAAGGGCTGCAGTTTGGTATCCGCGCTGCTGATCCTATAGACCTTCTGGATGCTGTTCAGTGCGTTCAGTATGATATCCAGCTGGGGCTGTGCACCGATGAACAGTTCGACTAGATCCAGGACACGTATGCGCAAGTGTAGCAATGCGGTGTCGGTGATGCGTTCCGATTTGGTCTGGCGTTTGGCATTTTTGCCCTTGGCCCCCTTGGGCTTGCGGATGTGGAAGGCGCGCTCCAGCGCTTGGTTAAGACGTTCGCCCTCTTCCTCGCCAACGTCGTTCCAGTCAATACTGCTGGAATCGAAGTCATCGTTTTCATTGCTGAGCAGCGCTTGGCGTACACCCTCGCGTATTCGCGCCAAGTTGGTGGCTTCATCATCCTCATCCTCATCCTCATCTTCATCGTCCTCATCATCGTCATCGTCTTCATCATCGTCATCATCTTCATCCTCTTCATCCTCCTCATCACTCTTATCATCGTCATCCTGAGTGTCCGCTTCATCACTCTCCTCAGCATTGCTGTTGGCGTCATCTTCATCGTCCTTATCGTCATCTCCCTCATTGACGTCCCAGTCTTTGTCGTCCAGCGGATTCCTGTCCATGTCTAGCAATTCCAGAAACTGTTCCAGATTCCTTTTGTTCAAATGCGGCATCAGCGCGCCGCCAATCGCATTCACAAAGAGACGCCAAAAGTGTCCGGTTTGCAGTAGCAATTGGAGCAGGACATCTGTGAGCACCTCCTGCCAGTTGGGTTCCGCTTCAGCCTGTAAAGTAAAGGCAAATATACAAAATATGAGCAAAGCTGCAAACAGCTTAAGTTTTAACATAATGTCAATGCAATTAACAGCGCTGAAGAACTCTATGTTAAGTAGCTGTTAAGGCAATGCTGTTAACATGAACACTTACCGCAGACTTGCGCTGTTTATCCTTGGCCTGCTTTGTCTTGAGCGCGTTTTGCTTGCAAATGAACAAATCATCGATCAGGTCCAGGGCAACATTGCAGCTGGGCGTAAACATGGCCAGGCCTAGGAACAGGATCAGCGCATCAAAGATAACAGCCAGTGCCTGTTTCTCCTTGACCGGCGCGTTCAACACTTTTTGCACCTTCTCCCACATGACGCGCATTTCGGGCGTCACAGTAATGCGCAGCTTGCCCTCAATGCCCGGCTTGGATAGCTTCTTGGCCAGCTGGCCGAGCAGCGGACGCAGCTGCTCATTGAGCGCGGCCAGTTGCTCGGTGTTGGTGCCAATCTTGTTCACAAGGCAACTGAAGAGGGTCTCCTCGCAGCGTGAGGCTGCCTGACGACTGAACACGGCCGCCTCGTCGGCCGTGCAAGGCTTCTGCTGATCGTTCAGATGGAAGAGCGAGGCGAACAGTAAAAATTCCAGCTGCTTGTTGCGCCTGGAGTTCTGCAGCTGTTGCATTTGCTTGAGGCAATGCTCGCGATTGGTGCGCGTCAACAGCTCGTTGTTGCTGGTAAACTGTTCGCTATAGAACTCATACATCTGTTCCAGACCCTGCTCGCCCAGCTGAGCGAGCAGCTGCTGCGTGAAGCGTGGCGTCTGCACAATATTGTCCAGCTGCAGCTGCAGCTGCAGCATGGGCCGCAGTATGCCCAGCTTGCAGGCATCCTGCTTCAGCTGCTGCTGGAAGCTGACGAGCAGCGCGGTCTCAAATTTGCGGCATATATAACGCAACTGACGCTGGGCAGCCTTTGCCTTGGCATTCGCCTTGCTGTTCAGCTTCTTGGCGGCCGTCAGTTCGCCAAGTAACATGCTTACGAGCGGCTCCAGCGTAAACAGCTGCTCCAGCTGCATGTCCGTGCGGCTGCCATCATCATAGTGCATCAGCACATGGGACAGCGTTTGGATGATGTAGCTCTTGGCGGTGACATGCTTGAAGGGCAAGTGCTCCGCGATATGCTGCTGCCAGGCGGCCAGCACCTGTTCGCTGGAACAGGTGGCCAGAAATTTGCCCAGACGCGCATAGAGGCCGTCGCCCTGCATGGTTGCATTGTTTAAATATGTATCAAACAGCTGCTCGAATTGGGTCTGCTTGCGCCAGAGCATCGTCTGCAGCTGGCGCAGCGGCAACAGCTTGGGATAGTTCAGATGCACGGACAACAGCAGATCGCAGCCATGCAGCTTTTGTGCCGTAATCGGTTTATTCAGCTCCGGCTGCAGCAGCGGCCAGACATGAGATTGAAAACTGGCCAAGCTAACCTGGAACACACACATAGAAGCAATCAGTTGCTATAGAGTAGAGCAATTAGTGCCATTTAAACGCACCTGCTTGAAGGAGTCAGCCATGATGTCCGCACACAGCGACACCAGATATTCGCGTCCCTTTAGCTGTGCTATCAATATGGGATAGACGACGGCTATCAACTCGGCCGTGGGCTGTTGAAAGTATTGGCTTTGCATTATGGCCAAAACGGTTATGAGCTGCCCAACAGCGGCCAACGTCTCCTCCTTGCCCTTCTGCTGGCTGCTCGCGTGTAGCTCGCGCTTCAGCACGCTGATCAGCTCAATCGGATCCAGGCCGGGCACATCGCGCAGTATGCTGTTAATATAGCTGGCGTTAAGGGCCACAGCTTCTTTGTCATCGGCGCCGGTGCAGCGTACCAAACGCTTCAAGGCATATGCGCAGGTTGCGGTGCGCTGTGCAAAAATCAAATTTAAACATTTTTAGTTGAAAATATTGGAGGTTGTTTCATATTCCCTCCTTAAGTGAACCCTGCTAAGGATACCCGGGGTCTCCTTCTACTCAATTCCCGGTGGGAACCCATTTATTCGTCTCGGTCGCAGTGCCCCTTAATCCTTATCAATCTCTTCTGTGAGAGTTTAGTTCGACTAAGCTGATACCCTTTAATGTAGTTGAAGTCTCTCAAAATGTTACAATTGAGAACATTTCTAACAGAAGAGAGCGCTTTTATAGTGGCCACAGGGTTGTATTTAGCTCAGACAACTTTACATCTCTTTTGGCATTTATGCAGTATTTTTCAACGTTCTGCCCTGGTACACACTTTGTATATGTGTGCGAGAGAGAAAGAGAGCTGCAATAATAGACGCAGGGCTGCATTTCGCTCAGAAAACTTAAAATCTCTTTTTGATACTTATTTATTCTTTCAGAAATGCAAGATAATTGGATTAGGTATTTGAATCAAGTTTGTCAGCATTCCTATACTTTATACAATTGCAATTTGTTAAGTTCTTAGAATTACAACTTTTTCAAAAGTTGCGCTCAGCGTGAAAAAAAAAAACAGCTGTTCGGCTAACGGCGGCTGCGACTGCGTGTTGCAGTCGTGTTTGTTGTGAATGTAAAAAAGCCTTGAATGGGACATTTATTTAACAGCTATTTCCCCAAAAGTGTGGACTCAAAATGCCAGAGGGACATTTTCAACAAGAACCTATAGATGAGCATTTCCTCTTGTACATACCTTTTCCGCGGCGGCTTCGTTGGTGAGCAGCGCAATTATTTCGTTGACGTGCTTTTGTGTGTTCTGTTTGTTGGTGTCCTGCAGCTTGTTGAATATGGCGAAAATGCCCTTGTTTATTTTCGTGGTGTCCAACTTCTTTTCGATCTGCGGTCCGTCCTCCGTTTCGATTTGGTCAGCGTTGCCGTTCTGTTTGTCAGCGAGCTTGCGTTTCTTTGCCGGCACTTTATTTATTTCTTCGGCTGTGCCATTTTGCGGCCGCTTTGCCTTTTCCTTGGGCTTTTTCTCGGTTTTGGTCCGCGGCGGCTGCGAGCTCTGCTGTTCGTTTTGTTTTCGATTCTCTTTTTGGACGTGTTGGTGTTTTTTAGCCGGCATTTGAGATGGGACGGCTCTGTTGGCCACTTCTGGCTTCTTCTTGCCCATTTGGACGATGCTTTTTATTAAAAAAAAAAAGATAGTATATGAAACACAAAATGCTCGTCAATTTACGGAGCACGTTTTTTAAAGAACTTGCCCGATTAATTTTTAGTCGCACGTTGACTGCGGTACAGTGTTGTCTTTTCGATTAATATCGAAATTATTAGCACACGTTCAGTTGAATTCAAGACAGGTATGCTGCTCATTATATATACTCGACGCAGTGAGGATATAAATATCTAACAGGAACACATTATTAATAAATGTTTTTTAAAAACGGTTTGTAGGCAACGTCTTTAATGCTTAAGCAAACGAAAAAAGAGAGCGTCTTATACTTAGTACTTGCTCAGAGTAATAAGAAAGCTCTGTTTGTAGTAATTGTGAACACTGCAGTTAATACGCTAATATATCGCACAGGTATCGATACTAATAGAGTATCGGTTAGAACGTGAGCTGCATACTAGTTTTGCACAGCTGTTGCTAGTACGATTGCACGTGTTGCCAGAGCTGCATTCAATTTTTAGCCTTATTTGGTTGTTGTTTTGGTTTTGCTGCGCGGCGGCGTCTTTTAACCGGTAATTCATTGAACGTATTCAGTTGTGAAAGACCTCACAATGGGCAAAAACAAACGCAACAAGCAACAGCAACAACAACAGCACAAAAATGCTCAACAACCAACAGCAGCTGGGCCAACGGCATCATCATCATCCACAAATAACGCGGAGGCGGCCAAAGGCAACCGCATACCCAGTCTCAATAATAAGAAACGCAAGGCCTTAAATTTGGTCATACAAGCGATATTGGATGTGGTAGAAATGCAGCCGGCCAATGCGAACGAGGAATGGAAACAGTATGTGGAGCTGCAGCCGCTGCTGGAGCGTCTGATCGAGCAAGAAAAGCCGCTGCAGCTGGCCGCCTGCCCCGCAGAGGATGCGGCCAATGCAAACGAACAGAAGCGCCTGGCCAAAGTGGCCGCCTTCAATGAGTGGGCGCGCGCGGGCGGTGTCCAAACCGATTGTGTGGAAATAACAACATTTCCCGGCTATCAGCTGGGTCTGCGCGTCACACGCGATCTGGCCGAGGGCGAGCTGGTGCTCACTGTGCCGCGTCAGCTCATTTTCTCGGAGGAGCTGTTGCCCGAGGCGCAACGCAAGCTCTTTATCGACTTTCCCACCCACCTGAATGTCACATATATGCTTATCATTGAGAAGGTGCGCGGCGCCGCCAGCAATTGGCAGCCCTTCATCGATACGCTGCCCACGCGCTACAATACCGTGCTATATTTTACCGTGGAGCAAATGCAGCGCCTGCGCGGCACATCTGCCTGTTCCGCTGCCGTGCGTCATTGTCGCGTCATTGCACGCATCTATGCCTCCATGTACAAGTGCGCCTACATGCAGCCTGATGACAGCGTTATGGCCGGCATGGCAAATCTCTTTACCGAGTACGGTCTCTGCTACGAGCTCTATCGGTAAGTGTGCATGTGTGTGTGTGTGTGTGTGTGTGTGTGTGTGTGTGTGTGTGTGTGTGTAGGCGTGTGCGTCATATAACTTGCCCTTCAGGAAACCTACCCTGCAACAGGCAACAATGGCTAGCACGATTTGCTTGTGGTTCTTTTTTGTGCCTTCGCCAAACTCATCAAAAGTGTTAGACACATTTGTCTTTAAGGGTATTTTGGCTTCGGCTCTGATTTGTTCTTACCTAATACCATCTGGTTGGGCTTATTGGAAATGGAAAAATACTTGAGTTTTCAAAAATGTTTTCCGTTTTGTGTGCTTTAAATTTGGCAAATGTTTCATTTTAAGGTTACAGTTTTTCAAGCTGCTTTCAGCATCTTGTTTCATTTCCAGCGTTTCAGCATTACAACTGTTTCTTACCAACGTTCCATAGGCGTGTCTTTCGACTGTTACATTCCAGTGTTTCGGCATGATTATTAAAGAATGTCTAGAATTTTAATTTTAATACATTTAAACGAATTGAATTTTCAAAGGGGGCTTTTATTGATTTTTAAAATGTGGCCTGGGCCATGTGGGTATTACAAATTTCTAATTTCGGTCCGATTCCGATTCCCTTACCTTTTTAACAGTCTGCAAGTGTATGACCCGCTTCGGCGTGCCCTCAAAGGCTTTTCTGGTTTTATTTTTAAACGCACGCTCGCCGTGTGTCCAATAAAAATGATTTCTAAAATTGCCCAACCACTTCTATGTGGGCATTATAATTGTCTCATGCAAAGTGTAACGCATAGAAGATAGTTCCGAACCTATAAAGTATATGTACTAGATCAGCATCAACTGTTTTCATGCGAAGTTGACTCGCAGTTTTAAAGTCATACAAATGAAAAGGGCATTAAATCTTCGGCTTGCCAAAGAAATTTTTTCTTACTCGCTGAAATAATATTTTATAATTTTTCAACATATTTTTTTTTTTACTACATTTTATTTTGCACAAAAAAAAAACATTGAATTAACAAAAAGAGAAAAACAAATCGTAACTTATTTACATGCTTAAATTTACGTATATATGCATATTATCTTTTATGTATACTTATTTGTGTATTTAGTTATATTCTTCGTATTTTGTGGGCACAAAAAAAAAATATTGAATTCGTATAATCGGAATTTGGAATTTATATTTAAGATATTTGTCGCGTTTTTGAGCAATTTCTCGTTTTTCTAGTGCACTGAACTGAGTTATAGCTTTTTTTTGTTGTTTGCATTTGAATGTGAAAGCAATCAATTTGGTATACTTTGATTCGCATCGTTTTAAGTATTTATTGTCCTCAAACATTGTTTTTTTTTTTTTTTTAATTTCCAACAGAATTTGCATAATTTGCTCGTTCAACATAACCTCACTAAAAGCTCAACTGTACTTGTGCAACATAACCTCACTAAATGATTTCAGCACAACTGTACTTGTGTGTGTGTGTGTGTGTGTTTCCGCTAGTGCATTTCTTTTGGTGCGCTACCGAAACCCATTTGCAATTCTGTTTGTGCCCCTGAAACGCAGTTTTTTAAATCACTTATCTTGGCTTTTAGGTTTCCATTTTCTAGTTTCACTTTTACTTTATTAATTTTTCGTTTTTTTTTTTATTTTGTCCGTAGGTTAGAGTTCTAAAATTACGTGCCACACGCCCGAGCATTGGGTCGACTGTAGTTCGTATTGTAATTAGAGCTTAAGATCTAAGTTCTATTTGTTGAAGTATGAGTCTTAGGAAAACATGACACTGCACTACAAATTACCTCGTTGCTGTGAGCACAAGTTGAAGCTAGCAAAATTGTTTTCCGCAAGTACAATTTAGCTTGCACTTGAATTGTGGTTTTTGGCTGTGAGTTCGTGTTTAGTGAAAGTCCCAGCTGTAATTCGGTTTGGCTAATGTCAAAGTGGGAGTAGTAGATAAGCTCAGATAATTAGCAGTTTAGTACAGCTTTTTCTCTCTAAATAGTAATTACTTTTTAATTGAAAATTGAAAAGGTTTACTTCTTGCAACGCTTGCTTTACTTATTTAAATCTGCGCACTTTACTTTTTTTTTTAAGAAAAAGAAGAGTTCAGCATGGCTAACAGATTTTTCACTTTCCTTTCACATTAGTCTGTGTTTTGTTCCTTCTATTATATTGCATTTTTTCTAGATCAGCAATACTTCTTCTTGCTACACTTCTCGCTGCACTTCTTACTGGGCTTCTGACAATGTTTTCCCATAGGTCTTTTACGTCTATACTTTTCCTTCTAAGCTTCGCTTTCTTTGTTTTTCGCTTCTCACTTCTCTTCTATTATTTTAGCCTCATCTTTCGTTACGCTTCACTTTCCGCTCTTTTCATCGCTTCTCGTTTCGCTTCTCAGTATGCTTTTCGCAATGCTTCTCACTACACTTCTTGCTTTGCTTTCCGTAACTCTTCTTGCTTTGCTAACTACTAACCTTAACTTCGCTTCTCGCTGTGCTTCTCACTGTGTTTTTAGCAACGCTTCTCGCTAACTTTCCTTTACGCTTCTTGCCTTGCCTCATACTTTTCGCTTGTCGCTGCGCTTCTCACTATGCTTCTCGCTACGCTTCCTGTCATTTCGTAAAGCTTCGCGCTTTGCCAACTACTTTCCTTAGCTTCGCTTCTCGCTACGCTTATCACGTTTACTATCTCTTCCGCCGGCAATTTGTCGGACAGTGTCATATGATCCCAAACTATTTTTCATTTCTAGTCCTAATGCAACCACACACAAAAAAAAAAAATTCCATTTCTCTTAAGTACATAAACTAACGTATTTTCTGTGTATATATTTATAATATTTTTATGTATATTTATAGTTTATATAAAACTTGGCCTAAACGGAGCGATACTACCATGTTGTCTAGTGTTGTCTCTGGACTGAGAGTGTATGCGTATGTGTGTGTGTGTGTGTGTTTGTGTTATCTAACTGTTTTATCTAGAGCCTAGCGCTTAATTATCGAACGATTTGCGCAGTGTATCGAATAGATATTCCTGCACCTCCGGCGAATTGGGATCCATGGTATTGAGTTTCTGGTGTGTGCTGCGCAGTGTTAGGGCCAATGATCCAACGCCACGCCCAGCTGCCGTGGCAGTGGCAGTTGTTGTTGTTGCTGCCGCAGTTGTTGTTGCTGGTGCTGTAGCTGCAACTGTTGCCGCCTTTGTCAGAGAACTGGCACAGCAGCCCTCGCGGCTGAACAACAACGAGCTCTGACGCTGCAGCTGATGGGATTGCTGCTGCTGATGTTGCTGATGCACTGGGGTGTTGCACGAGACCGTTGCAATGGTTGGCTTGTGGCAGCCATCGCTGCTGTTGCTGCTGCTAACCACCAGCTCCTCCATGTGCTGGCGCAGCGAGGAGCGTCTCGATGCGTTCGCCGTTTGCGCCAATTGCGGCAATTTGCTCTTCATCGCATTGTAGGTCTTTAGGTAGCTGGTCTTGCGACGTCGATGCTGCTTCCAGCGGCACACCACAAATATGACCATGAACGTGGCCAGCGAGGTGAGCACAATGGCCGCACTGGCCACAATTGCCGACCGTATGCCCGCCGGCATGCTGGCGTATAGGCTGCCCAAATGCTGTTGTGACATGGATGTGGCGGCCGCGGCGGCCGGGCTGCGTCGAAAACCATGGCCGGATAGCTCCAAATCGAGTAAATCATGCGCACGCGCTACCTCGTTCTCAATGGTATCGATGACATCGCTGTTGTCCTCGCTGGGCGCCAGTTTGCTAACATTTCTATTGATCCCGCCGCCAAACCCATTCACGCTAAGATCTATGTCCATGCTGTTGTTGTTGTTGTTGTTGTTGTTGCTGTTGTTGTTGCTGTCGTCCTGCTCCTGTGAGTTGCCGTCGAGTAGTAGGCGTGGCGGCGGCAAATAATACGCACTGCGCTTATCATCCGCATTGGCAGCGGCGGCGCGTGCAGCTGTTGCCGTTGCCAGCGAGGCGAGCGCCAGAGTTTTCCATGAAGGGAAAAATCCGAGTGATTTTTCGCCGCGCTGCTGCTGGAGCTGTTGCTGTTGTTGTTGTTGTTGTTGGGCTGTTGCAGTGGCTGCTAGGGAAGATTGGTCATAGGAGGGTCCTGTATGCCGCAAAGAAAAGGAAACGAAAGATAGAGAGAGAGAGAGAGAGATAGATGGAGTGGTAGAAGGTGTGGGGAGGGTGAATTGTTGAGTTAGTCTTGTCGTTAGTGTATAAAGTTGTGTATGTGCGGCGGTTACAGCGAGCTGTGGCTTGTGTGCTAAAGTACCAGGCGTGATGGCATATTTGGTGTGTGTTAATTTCAAAAAAAAAAAAAATGTTATCGATATATATCGGTGCACTCATTTATCGCTTATCGATGATATGCTTTAATAAGCGCTGAAAAAATAAATAACTATATGTTCAAGCCTAACAGAATCTAGTTTTCAATCAATCGATAACATTAAATCGATATATCGGTGTGCGATTACCACTAAATACCGAACATTCATGTATAGAATAGTAAATTATAGCAAATGATTTGTTGGTTAAACTATGGAATAGAATCAAAAAGTATGTTATCGATATGTATCGATGCACTCACATATCGTTTGTTTTACGAAATGCACTTAATAATCGATAACACAAACTATGTTTAAAAGTAAACCTAAAAGCGAACAGCATTTTGATATATTAACATTTACATTAGCATTAATGCATAAAATAGTTAAATGAATTGACAGCAACTGAAGTGTTAGATAAATTATAGAATCGATATATCGATAACATAAACGCACTTGAAATATGCCCAACATTCCTAGCGATTACTTACGTGTGTGCATTTGGCGTGCTGAGCTGCTGCCGCATTGTTGTGTACCTGCCGCGCTGGACAACAAGTACAACAACAACATCAAGAACAGCAACGGAAAAAGTCAAATCGATAATCAATAAACGATAAACGATAAACGGCAACAGCTCAGCACGCGCCAAATACGCGCGCGTTCAGCACACGCTCACTGCAGCTGGCGCCGGCGCTGCTCGCGCTGGCGCTGACGTTGACGCCGTAGCCGCAGTGCAGTTATACCTCGATTACGATTGTTGTTATCGCTGTTATCGCCATTATCGCCATTATCATTATTGGGCTCAATATCGATAATCGATGTAAAATAACTGGAGCCCTGCGAATCCGTTTTTATCTCATCCGGCTTAACGCTCTTCAAATCAATCAAATTGAAATGTGGAAAATTCTCAAATGCCGTCACAATATCCATATTATCCTGCAGCACAACCTTCTGGCCGGGATAGAAACGCGAATGCTCCTTGCCCGTGCTGAGTATGGTCGACAAATGCAGCTGACTGGAGCCCCGCTTGCGATGCTCGATCAGCTCCTCCAGCGTCATGTTGCGCTGTTCGAGCACCTTAAACAAACGATTGCCCGAACGTCGATCCTCGATCAGTTCCAACAGATCTGTGCGATCGTCCACATCATCCATTAAAATCATCGGCGCTGGCGACTGTTGCTGCGGCTGCATCTGTGGCCGGGGCTGCTTAGCCCGGACACGCATAGTCGGAGTGCTTGGCCGGGCTGTGGTTGTTGGCGCTGGCACGCTTATATGTTGCGTATTGCTCTCGACCTCGTCGAAAAAGTTCTCCAGCTCATCGTTTCCATCATTATAGCCAAGCTGCTCGGCGCTGTTGTTGCTGCTGCTGCTGCTGTTGTGTGTTGCTGCTGTGCTGACAACATTTTCAGCCAGCTCCAGTTCCACATCCTCAATGCTCTCCACGGAATTCCGCTCATAATTGCTGCCAATAATATTGTCGCGCAGACGTTTCGTTTGCTCCCTGCTGCTGTCCCTGTCCCTGTCCCTGTTGCTGTTGCCTCTGTTGCTGCTGCTGCTGCCTCTGTTGTTGCTGTTGTGACGCGTGCGATAACGCGTTGCTGGCGGCAATTCGCTGCTGTTCTCCTCCTCAGACACATCGGTTTCGGGCGCAATTGTTGCTGCCGCTGTCACAGCAGCTGTTGTTGTCTCCAGCAGCAATTGCTGCTCATCCAGTTCGGTTGTTGTTGTTGCCGCTGCTGTTGCTGCTGCGGCTTTTGTTGTTGTTGTTGTGGTTGTGCTGCTTGCTGTTGCCTTGAACAATGCTGGCGGCTTTAGTGTGGAGCGCATTTGCTGTCGCTTCTTGTACAGCGGCAAACGTGTTGTTGTTGTTGTTGTTGTCGTTGAGCTGCTAGCAACAGTTGCTGTTGCTGCTGTGCTGCCTGCATGCAGAGTGCGTCTGGTGCTGCTGCCCTCGCGCGATGAGCTGCCGAATAGCTTTAAACGCTGTAGTGCCGGCAATTTGTTTTGCTTGGGCCTGAACAGCTCCTCCCGGGAATCCTCCTGCTGTTGTTGCTGGCGGGAATCTTCCTGCTGCTGCTGTTGCTGCAGTTCCTCCACCTCCTGCTCATGCGCCAGGAAAGCGGCGGGTATGCGTCGCACTCCATGCTTATTGTTGCCGTTGCTGCTCTGGGCCGTCGCTTTCAGTTTGGGCTCCTGGCTGGCGGATGCAGGCGCCACCGCCGTAGTCTGCAGCGCCAGCAGCGCATTTTGCTTGCCCTTGAGCAGATCATCCAGCGATAGATTTTTCTGCTGCAATATCTCGCTGAGACTCAGCCCACCGGAATTCTTCAAAATGTTCTTCAGATCCACGGGCGTTTTGCTGCCCGTGGCAGCAGTTGGCGTCAGTTGTTGCTGCTGCTGCTGCTGCAGCAGCTGCAGCAGCTGTTGTTCCTGATCCTGTTTCTTGGCCTGGCCGTAGGGTCGTCGATAGGCCTTGCCACCCACGGCTGGCGCCTCTGTCGGACGCTGCCGCTGCCGGTCGCGTTCCCGTTCCAGTGCCGCCATAGGCTCGCGTATGGGCAATTGTTTGCGCCGGACAGCAACACCTCCGGCAGCAGCTGCACTGTGATCATCCTCGACATGTCCGCGCCAGTAGGCACCATTGTTCTCCTCTTCGTTGGCGCCCATTGTGGCCAGCGGCAGTTGGGGACGTCGTTTGCGTTTGGCGCCGCCGGGACGACGTCGGGACACAGCTGCCTCGGGCGTTGGCTTGCCATCGTCCACAATGAGAGAGACGCCAGTTTGGAGCAGCTGCTGCAAGTGAAGTGGAAGAGAAAGAACAGGCATGAATGGGGCGGCTTATCAGATGCAGCTGGGCAGAAAAAGAGAGATTTATAGCGCCGGTTAGCAGATGGTCAGCGCGTTGGATTGACTTTCATTGATTGATGGACTTCATTGATTGATGGCATTTATGAAGGCTGCCACCAGAGCAATCGTTTGTGTCAGCATGTGTGTATGTGTGAGTGTGCCGGTGTGCGGGTGTATGTGTGTGTGCAATCAATTTAACATATGCGTGTGAGCATCCATTTAAATCTGTTAATAAAAACAGATACACAAATATGCTAGACGAACGTTTATTTAAGTATTTAACTGGTGAAACGTTTACGAATGACGCATATGGAGGAATTAATAATTAAATGCCCTTCAAAGTAAAAGGGTGGTTGAAGAAAGGAAAAAAAGGACGGAGGGAAAAAAGAGAGAGGGCGAGAGGGTAAGAGGGGAAAGAAGGGAAAGGAGACACGAATGGGGTGGTAAAAGAATTGAAAGGAAATGCGAGAGAAAGAAAACATCAAAAGGAATAGAGACAGGGAGACAAAAAAAGGCTATTAAAAGAAGAGGAAAGAAAAAATGACGAAATATAGAAACAAAGTATCAGATGGAAGAGAGAAATAAAATAAAAAGATAGAAGGAAATATAAGGAATAAAGGAAGTTATAAACGAGGGAAAGAGAGTGAAAGAGTGAGAGAGCGAAACAGATGGCGAATAAAGACCAAGAAACGGATATGGAAAATATAAAAAGTGAGAAATAGAGAGTAACTAAGAAGTGTAAAGAGAAATAAGAAGACAGGGGTAGATAGATTATAGCAAGACAGTTACTAATTGACTTGTATAAAGAAGGAGCTAAGATATCATTTAGTTCGAGTGTAGCAAAGGTCCACCTTTTTCACCTTTCTACATCATCAAATAACTTATTTGTTGGTAAGGCTTTCGTAGATTGAGAAATAAGCGACCTTTGTGAAATGATCGATTGTTAGCGATTTCGATTGTTATCGATTTGATTTGAAAAACATTGAAGCCAATTACCTAATTATCGATTAGACCAACACTGCTTAGTGCACACCGAACAGCTTGATATCGATATGTTATCGACAACATTGCCACATTGCAAATAGCTTGTTATCGATATATTCTAGATAACTGACATTATTTGTGCGAATAATTTATATATGCCATCAAATTTGATTAACTAGAGCACCACTTGCCGACAAACCAATCAATGTTTGCTGAATTCATAATTACATTTACCATTTGCCATAATGTGGCTAAATATAGGCACACACGCACACACAGGCTGTCTAAACTGCTCTCACAGGAAAATGGCGCAAGAGATGGAAAGAGTTGGACATACGAGGGAGAGAGAGAGAGAGAGGGAGAGAGCGGGTTATAGATTCAACTATTGATAATCTGCCAAACCGTGACTTCAGGCGCTTTTCTGTTCACCTAATTAATTTTCAATTTAACGCCAACCCTTTTACACACCCCCACCCCCCTCACTGCTGTCTGTTGCCTTACCCATCGCGTCCAGTTAGCCGCCCCATTATGTTGATGTCTGCATAAGAAGCGTAAAAGCTTGGATGATTATTCGCAGTCGGGATTATTATGTTGTTGGCATTGAGCATCTGTCTCGCTCCAGCCCCCGCTTCACCCCTTTGCACGCCCATGGTTAGCCTGAGTAATTGGCCTGGCCCAATGGCAACTCTTTCTCTCTCTCTCTCTCTCTCTCTATATTTTGCTCGCGCCCTCTCTTTCTCGAACTGTTATTTTCCCAGCTCTAATCAGTCTAATGCAAATGCCGATTTCTGCATTTATGAGCCTTATGAGTGTACTTGTGTGTATGTGTGTATGTATGTGAGTGTGTGGGTGTGTGTGTGCCTGCCTGTGGCTTGGGATTTGAAGCCCATATTAATAAAATTGATAAGATTGGCTTTTTGATGACCTACCAAAGGGCAAACAATCGCTTAACGTTACACAGCATCATTTTGTATGCATTAAGGCAGAGATTTTCAAACGTACGTAATTTTAGCTGAGGAATCGATCGTGATATCTATTTCGTACAAAAATGATGCATCCTCAATCCTGTTTGTATATATATATATGCTTGATCTTGATCCCCATATCATGAGTTGTTATAGGAATAATTTTTTGAAAATTTAGCTCTTGTGTTTTATTGTCATTATCATCATCAACAACATCAGCCTGCTTTAAAGGCTATACTCTGTTTGGGTATGGGTATTTCAGCTTTGACAATGCTTTAATTGATTTAATTGATTGAATTTGATTACATTTTGTACAACCAAATGCTGTTCAAGCTCAAATAACAGGTATATCATATAGTTAGCATAGCAATAATATTTGTCTATATAAAACTTGTTGCAATTCTTGCTTGTTACCCTTTATTGTGTTTGTTTGTGAAGCCATTAAATGATGAAAGCCCCACAAATACCTGAGCGTATTTCAGAAATTTTCAATGCCGCCGTGCGAATAATTAACTTGAAGGCTAATGACAAAACTAAATTGTTGACGTTGAAAAGTTAACCAAACAAAGCGCCAAAACTCGCTCAGAGTTTTGGCCGAAACTCATTACCCAATATGCCAGCCAAAAACAAACGGCAAGAGACGAGAGAAGCGACGGCAGCGCAGAGACGAGAGAAGCGAAAACTTTTTGCGACAACTGCAAACAATGCAAAAATAATGTAAAGTTGAAAACACAAACCGATCCCCCTTTCGGCTCGCCCCGCCTCGCCTCCACAGCTGAAGCAAGGCAGTTAAGCAGAATGCGGAATGAAACAAAACGAAATGGAATGGAACAGCATTGAAATGTGCTGACAAGAAATCGTTGCATAAGCCAAGGCGCTATGCAATTTGGGCGCTTCCTTAGTTAGAGATGGGCGCGTGTCGTAATGGATTTATCGATAACATAACAATAATATTTCGATTACAGTTCGATAACATATCGATAATGTGCTCTATTCTGTTGACTGTTTTTGTCCGCATGATTAACTTAATTGGATCTTGATGCAAACATAAAGTGATTGCTCGGTTACCAGAATTAACATTGACCCAAATGCCTTGCTTATTTGTAGAATTCTTTTTGTTGTATTTTATTATTATTGACTTCACTTCTTAAAACTCTTTATCAGATTGTTTGTAAATCGTTCGAATTTGTTGTCAGTGTTTTGTGCTTTGAAACAATTTCGTCACGCGCTCATCTTTAGATGCCATTGCATGCAATGCAATTGCTGGGGAAAAAAATAGCATTAAACGCATTTCCCTCAAATCATTTGGCTGTGGCGTCGCTCGCTGTGTGACATGTTTTGTTGTCTACCTTTCAAATTGGATGAATATCTGCATGCCGCCTTCTGCTCTACCCCCCGTCATTGTGTCCCATTGAAAATGGCATCAAAAGGGTATAGAAGTTCTGTGTGAATGTTTGTAACAGACGAGAGAAGGCTTCTACGACCCCATCTGCCCGTTTGTTCTCAGAGACTATAAGAACTAGATTCTTGGAATATGAAACGTTGATTTATCCTAAGCGGATAAAATTATATCTGGAATAATCGACAACTCGTCTGATTAACACAAAATCGATAAATATCGATATCAATAGCCTAGTTTATTCAAAAACGCGCTGGTTTAAGGTATTACGTAGTCGGGCACTCCCGACGAGACACTTTTTTGGCTTTTTCTTTTCAATTCGGTCAAGTTTTGGCTGTGGAGATTGCATGCATAATGAAGATGGACGTCAATGGCAATCGAATTGTTTCATTCGGCAAAGTTTTAAACAAAGATCCCAAACGAACTGAACAGAATCGAGCTGCAATTGAGGGCGCACAAAAGCGAAAAATAAGAAGAAAAGCTGCACGAGGAAGATGAGAAGAAGAACCTGCTATGGAAGCAGCTTTAAAATGCAACCCTGCCCATGTTTTTGCAGTGCATTAAATCAAATTGAGACACACGCACACACAGTCGCAGGAGCGACACAGACAGACTTCACGTGCATGTGTGTGTGTTTGTGTGTGTGTGTGTATGTGTGTGTTTGTTTGTCCGCCTGTGTTGACAGGAATGGCAACACTTTAGAACTTGGCCTGTCAGCAACAGCGGCAACAGCAGCAAGAGCAACAGCAGCCTTCAAAAGTTCGCAACGCGCTTCGTTTGGCTGCCGCATGCGGCGTTTTTTTTATAGTCACATAACCTCAGTTTTTTCTTCTCTTCCTTTTCTCTAGTTTTTTGATTTTCTTTTTTGGTGCGCTGTTTGGCCTTATTTTTATACCCTGATCCATTAAAAATGGGCAAAAAGGGTATATGGGCTTGTGCCAGGCAGAAGTAAGCATCCCCGACATCAAAAAATATATATATTCTTGAGCAGATTCTATAGTCGAACTTAGTTCCTTCCAGTGCCCGCGCTGTACGAGTTTGTTTTCGATAATCGATAAGTTGCCACGTTTTCAAGAAATCGATAAAAATCTTTATCTATACCTTTATATCTATATAAACTTTACGAATATGGGAATATTCTATAGCACGATAAGATCTGCTGCTGAAAATTTCATCAAGATGTGTTGTCAGGAGAAAGTTCAGGGTATCCCTTAGTCGGGCATATGCCATGTCAGCGCTCTTGTTTATTTTTTTTTATCCAGCGGGCAGTTTATTGCCAAGCTGTTGAGCTGCAACGTTTTCTTCTACTTTATAATGCCATTGTCGTTGTTGTTGTTGTTGTTGTTGTTTTTTTTTTTGTGCAGTCGATAAATGTCAAGTTAGCGTTAAAGTTGTCATCGACTGTGCAAATATTTTGCCCGGTTCTGCCATGTCGCGCTCACAGCTTATTGCAGTTGACATAACGTCTCGGGTTTTCATGCTCATGACACTTATATGTTGAAATTGTGCAGAAGTATGGCAACGCTTTGATTTTAAATTGACAATAAGCCATGGTTGAGTAAAAAGCGTAGCCGTATGAAATTATTTAATAGTAC